TGCCAGCCATCCTGCTGTGTGTCCAGCCCCTGCCAGCCATCCTGCTGTGTGTCCAGCCCCTGCCAGTCAGCATGCTGCAGGCCTGCTATATGTATTCCTGTGAGATACCAGGTAGCCTGCTGTGTGCCTGTGAGCTGCAGGCCCACTGTGTGTGCTGCCCCCTCCTGCCAGTCCTCTGTGTGTGTGCCTGTGAGCTGCCGTCCTGTCTGTGTGACGTCCTCCTGCCAGTCATCTGGATGCTGCCAGCCTTCTTGCCCCACCCTGGTCTGCAGGCCTGTCACCTGTAACAACTCCTCCTGCTGTTGACCAGGGTCTCCAAACCAGCTGCTGCCAGATGGGACACACCTGTAGTCTCACAATCTATTCAACCTGACCTCAGGTTTAGAGTTTGCAGCAGGTGGGAATCCTACCTGTCCCACCCCGAACCTTGGAGGAGAATGCACACTCTAGAAGCAGGATCTGTATCTGCTGAGGTCTTATGGATGTCCTGGCTGCAGTGTCCTTCTCTAATCCTGTGTACCAAATAAACCATTTTTTTCAAGTTCAGCTGCACTTGTCTGTCCTGTTTCATGCCTACCTTCCTGGCTTCTCTTGTATCAGGAAGGATGTCAAGTTAATCAATGGTCTCTATGATCCCTGGGAGATGAGGTTGGGTGGAGGACATAGCCTGATTAAATGGGTGTCTTCAGGTCCTGGCATTCCTGTGCCTGGGGGCCCGCAGCCATGTCGTGGATTTACTCTTTCCTAGCTGTGTCCTCTCCCCTCGTCCCCACTCAGCTCTTCTTTTCCAGTACGATGGCCACATTTACTGCAGACATTCCGATTATCCCTGGTTAGTTTTCCTCTCTGATGCTATCTTCTAATGCTGGGTCCCGATGACTTTTCCCTACAGGGAACTTCTCAAATGTTTGAGTCTTAGTAACACAATGTGATTGATCCTGTAGCACCTTTTCTCCAGAGGTTCACAAGTACCCATCTTTAATTGACAGGCGCTCAACTATAACGTAGTAAACACAAATCATTTGCTTCCCTCTCCAGCAGGGCAGTAAACAGGGGTCCAGGGAGATCACCTGAAAGAGAGAATGGTGGAACGGGTGAACACAAAGAAAGATGGCTTGTCTATAGGCTGATCAAACCACACTTTTTACTTTTTTACACAGGGGTTATATACACAAAAAGGCAGGATGTGGGGAAGGGGATGATGCAGGAGCGTAGGTGTTCAGGGGGAGTACAGATATCTTCCAGAACAGAGTATCGGCTGGGTGAATGTTCAGGGAACAGGTCACTATGACTCCGCCTATGATTCACTTGTCCTTATCTAAGTTGGTACTATCCACCAAGGCTACCCAAGGTCTATGACTATCCACAAGACCTATGACTACTTGTTCTTATCCAGGCTGGTAAATTTCCACCAAAGCTGCCTGTTTACAATATCTTATAGCTATCTGTTTCAATGTTTTTCCACAGAGACCTAAGACTTCAGGCTGACTTAGGCCTATTGCTGATTTTAGGCCTTCAGTGTATAAGCAGGGCTGCCTCTGACAATTTGCAACTTAGAAGCCAGAGAGCATGGTTATGTCCCACTGACCTCCCGGGGCAGTGGCTGCTGTGGTCATGTGACCATCGCTCATTGCCAATGAGGAGAGTTGAGTCTGTGTTCCATGTGCCTCAGGCATGTACTCTCGAGGTGATGTCTTCATCAACGGTGTCTAAACTGGGGGTTATTTCCTCTGTGTAGCCTTGGTGACAGGTCTCCCATTTCTGATGTGTATCTTTATCTCCGGTCTCCTGCAGAGTGTCATAAGCAATACACATGGAGCCACCCAGGGATGGACAAGGAACCTGGTACATGCTGTGCCTGTGGCTCCTTCCTGCCCTGTTCCTCCCAGAGCTCTCCCTGCTGCCTGTTTGTATTATGCCTGTTTTCTTTATGCTGCAGGGTGATGAAGGGAAGCAAGAAGAGAAAAAAATGGTTTATAATTCAGCCACCAAGATGGTCTGTGACCAGGGTGTGGTGTAAATATGAGCTTTGAATAAAACTAGGCCAGACATGGAACCAGCCCCCTTTGTTCTTCATTATCACTGAGGTTTCTAGACACAGAAAAAAAAATCCACATTATTCTCTGCCAGGCTATCTATATATAATATATATAATATTGGTATATATATATTATAATATACACAATGTATATATATTGTAATATACAGTGTATATATATATATATATATATATATATATATATATATATATATATTATAATATAATATATATATCACCTCAAGTCTAGTTCCAGGAGTAATTCTGTTCCCATCTGAAACCTCATGGGCTCAGGCTTCCCGTCTGAATTTCCACCGGCATCCTTGTCTTCTGAGAACCCACTAGGGCTTTTCTTAAAGCGCTGTTTACAGCTTTCTAGAGCTTCTATAACTCACCTCCCTGAACTCTGACAAATCCTGTCCACAACCCTGTGACAAAGGTCTAGAAATCCCACAGACAAGATTAGCTGCAGTGACTTCCCTCTGTCTCCTAACACTTTCCACATTAGTTTTTGTTTTCCTGTGGTGACTAACCCAACACGACAACAGCAAAGGCAGAAGAATTTACCTGACTCATGGTTTCAGGGTGTCTGGTTCTTCCCAGTGGAAACCGAGCTGGAAATTAATCAGAAGTGGGAATGCTAACCCTCGGCTGACTTCCTCTCAGCCTGGGATGGGCGTTGCCTCATTCAGGTAGGATCTACCTTCTCGGTTCATCCTCCGTGAAACCCCCTCACAGACGTGCCTTGAGAGATGCCTCAGTCTCTGAGGTGATTCTAAACTCAGTCAGGTTGACAGTGGAGATAAGCTTCCAAACCTTCCCTCCCTGGCATGGGCCCCTGAGGCTTGTCCCAGGCTCTTTCAATGGCTTCCGTGTACCCCAAGGAGTAAATCCTAGGAAGCAAGTTCAGAATGTGAGAAAACAGGGATGGGGGTGTGTTGTAGTAAAAATTTAATCTCAGTTGGGGGTTTCTGCCTCACCTTGATCATTCACTTCCCAGATAGAAGACACACAACTTTTTTATTTTTAATAAGCCTTTAATGTGCAAGAGCTGGGCAGGTATCTACCCTCTAAGCTATTATGATCTACTTCCGTATCAATAACCCAGAATTATAACTTGCTATATTCCACCTGGGTTGCTCTTAACTCCGATTGGCCAGCCCTCATGCCCATGCTTTCATGACTCACCCACCCCATGGCGTCTTCTCCTCTCTCTGTCTTCTCTCCACTCACGGTCTCCTCCTTAGACCCCCATCTACCTCTCTTCTTCATTCAACCAATAGTTTTAAATTAAGGACCGAGGTCACATCGCATCACTTTGTATACATGAAGATTCTCTCGTTCCCGAGGCAACCAGAGCCAGTATTTAACATTACAACCCATAGTAACAGACCACACCCCAACAGGATCGAGAGTTGGACATTTTAGAGGGGAGAATCAATTCTCCAGAAAGCCATAAGCAAGGGAGGATAAAAAAAAGTCAAAGAAGGTTTAGGGAGATGCCTCTGCCCAGCCATGCAGGAGGTTTGGGGAGAGAAGAGACTCTTCCTAGTTCAACAGGATCAGGGTCGTGTGTTGGCCGGGAGAGACGGCTGTCACCTGGACTTGGGAGGTAACCAGAGAAATAGGTCCAGCATCTGAAGTATTCAATAGGAGGAATTAATACAACGCCTCAGGGGAGGACCTTGAAGATCAGGGTGGGACAGAAAGCCTGGTGCAGGGCAGCTCATGTGTGTGATGGGCCTGAGAATCCTGGCATGCATCAGTGAGACACACAGGAGGCCTGCTTATAGGTGGCAGCCACAAAGGAGTCCCGTCAGAGGTACACATGGACTTCAATGGCTGTAGAAAGCCTCATTGCCCTGATTTGGGTAGAAAGGTAATAGGGGCATAGCACAAAGAGGCAAGGCGGGGTGACAAGAAGCAGTCCAGATCAGCTTGTTGGTACATAGTGGTTGGGTCTCAGTGGAGGCTGAGAGAGAAGAAGGGACAAGACCCTAAAAGGCATTTCTGAGTGGCATGTGGCCACATGTGTTAATATAGGCGCGTATAGGCATGTCACACTCAGACATACATAAGAAGCCCTAAGTCTGACGCTTTGGGCACATTGTGATGGCAGTCTTCACTTACCTTTACCAGACTTTGAATCTTCTAAGGCACAAATCTCTGGATGTATCTGTGAAGGTCTCCAGAGAAGTTTAACTGAGGAGGAAAGATCTGGTTTCAGGTCTGGAACAAGGGACTGAGGTCCATATTTTAGATACCAAAGCAGATCTGGCTTCCAGGTTTTCCCAGCATCCTTCTGTCCCTACCTGGCATACCCTGCCCCCAACCTTGAACATTCCAGCCCAGGGACTGGGTTGCCCTCCCCCAAGGGGTTCCTCCCTATATAATCCAGACATTTTGGTCTTTCTCTTTGATTTCTTCTTCTCTGTCTACATGCAAGCTCCTTTCTCTTTCTTGCTTCCTCCAGTACCTGACCTTGATCCTTAGGGCCAGTAAACTTACCCACCCAAGAGCAGCTTCACCATAAACCTGTCCCGACGAAGAGAAGGGTGAGTTTATTTTGGCTTACGGTTCCAGAGGGCTAAATGCCTAACAGGCAGGAAAACATGGCGGCAGACAGGCTAGGCAACAGAAGCAGGCACCTGAGAGCTCACGTCTTCAAATGCAAACATGAAATAGAGAGAGCACCTTGGAAGTGGTACAAGGCTTTAGACTTGTCCAGCCTGCCCCAATGACGCACGTCCTCTAGCAAAGCTGTACCTCCCCATTATCTCTCTGAACAGCGCCGCCCACTGGAGACCAAGCGTTAATGCCTGAGCCTATGCGGGAGCTGTTTAGCTGTTTTCACCAAAGCACCTTGACCCAAGGACCAGAAAACACTAAGGCAGAAAATGAATATGCAAAGAAGACCAGCTGTGTTCTAGGTTGTTGGGACACTGGGCCATGAATAAAGGCAACCACCCTCCCTCTCTGAGCTCCAGGCATTTCCACCCTTCTCCAGTACCAACCAGTTAAATCCTGCCATCTGGGTGCATCCTTTGGAGCTGGTTAGCAGCAGGATTGAAGACGCTGTGAGCTAGGGCAGCCCTCAAACGCTGTGTGTAGAGTTGAACCGCCCTTTCTATGGGAGTATGTGAGAACAGAATTCCAATAAAAGGCAGACACTAAAGTCTCCTCATGTGGCTTCAGAGCAGAACTGTGCTACGAGCCATTCGTGATAGAAGCTGGCAAAAAAAAAATAAATAAATAAAAAAAAATCTGT